TATTTAGTTCAACCAATGAATCTATATTTATCTTAGCTTTGTCTTTAGCTTAAAAAATAAAGGTTATAATAATGGGAAGAGCCTTGAAGTGGGAGCCCAAGAAATAATTCCAAGTGTCGGGTTTATAACTACATCTTTGACCAAGTCACTTAGAAAGACTCGTAGGCTCTTGAGTGTCTGAATTTGCAGGTGGGCATTAAAACTTCTGCCCTGCTCATCCCATAAGTTGATGTAGGGCTCAAGTAGGCAATACATGAAAAAGACGTGGACAAGGGTTATTATCTGAGGCAGAGCTGCACAGGAACAGATCATAGTCTAGGACAGCGTTCAAGCCCAATTCTACCATTTACCAATCATACACCTTTAGGCATCACCGAGTCCCTTTCAGCCTCAATTTCTCCCTCCACTAAATGAGGGAGCTGAATTGTAAGGTTTCTTACATCTCCAGAAGTCTCTGTGATCTTACACTGTAAAAATTAAAGAGGAAGCTCTCTAACATGCTTTTGAGAGGAAACTCTGAAAGTGAAATACACTGATTAGGTCCTAGTGATAAATTTTAGTCTCTGTCTTGCATATAAAAGAAAGTCATCATTTTCTTTTCCTTAGTGTGAGCAGGCTCACATCCTTTATGAAATGAGGTGTGCTATTAATTTATTAGCTATATATCAGATTTTTTAGAAGTAGGGAGGTGGCAATCATGAAGAATTATGAGAACCATTACATGTTATGTTATCTGAGCATAAAACTAACAGAAAAGAATCTGCCCTTGAAATAAAGAAAAACAGAGTCTGTGTTACATTACTTATAGTCCATGTTAAAATCTACATACGGCACACAAACAAAAGATTTGAAATAAATACAGAGGCATAGCTGTCCTTGTCTGACAGTTTAACTTACAGTTAGCCTGTTCTTCTGTAGTGCTAAACTTGGATTGTGTCTACACCACAACTAAACATAGAATCCACATTGGCAAGGCAACATAAGCTTTTGTTGTAAGCTCTACAGAAGTAGGAATTTTTATCTGTCTTATTCACTGATGTGTCCCAAATTTCTAGAACAGTACCTAATACCTATTAGGTGTTGAATAAATATCTATCAAAAAGATGAACTTGCTTCCATTTTCTGCCTTGAATAGGTAAGCTACACTCTTTTCAGAACTTGTATTGACTTTTCTTTATGTCATTAACTTGTTTTTATGCAAAGACATAAACCACAAGAACTGAACCAAAGGTAGCCTTAGCAACAGGGGTAGCTGGTCAACAACAAACGGCCAACACAAATGCTTGAAACCTGTGTCACCTTCATATCAACTGAATTAGGAGTAATGTTTGCTTCAGCGTAAAATTACCAAATAATTAAAGAGCAGTTCTCGTCATGTTATTAAAGAGAATACTTCAAATAACGTAGGAAAAAAGTCTACATATAATTCATAAAATGGGATTAAAAATACATGTAAAAAGAGCTATTAATAAATATGCCTCATGTGTTTCCTCCTTTTAAAGCTCAAAGCAGGGTGGTCTGCCTTGTGCCCACATCAAAGAAGCCTAACTAACTGAGAATAAGAGAAATGAAGGCTCAATTCAGTATCTCTCTCCTGGTGCCTAAACACATTTTTACAAAAATGTTCTTTGAACCAACAACAAACTGAGACAACCAGAAATAGAATGGGAAGATAAACCCACAAGAGGAGGCACCCATGACATCACCACACCCCCTTGCAGTTTCTCCAAAATATTTTTCTTACCAGATGAACACAAAAAGTCAAAGAGCTCTATTTTTAATGCATGAGTCTTCATTGTGGCAGAAATAGATCAACGGAAAATCTCTTGTCTTCAGAAAAGCATGAGCCTATCACGCAAAGTTTGTAAGCTTATAAAATAGCATGTCTGATATGGGAAGCATTAAAATGCATGGGCAAATGAACTAATGAGTACATGAATGAGTGTCTCCAAGAGAGAATTTCAGAGTAATTCAGGAAGTGACAGTGCATAAATTAGCCCATTCATTCTTAATATTGTCCTCATACTATATAACTGTATGTGAGTATAAAATTGTACAACTATACAGCTATATAATTACATAAACATATACTCTCTCTATATAGCTATATATATATATAATGACATAAAATACAAATATAAATATAGTTAGTGTTTCAGTATATATACATATATATCTAGAAGAATGCCAGTCAACACAGATAAGCTGGAGAGAGGGAGAGAATTTGGGAGAGTTTTGGGGAGAAGCTGGGGAGCAGGGGGCCATAGCACCACCTACCAAGCTGAGATGGGGAAGGAAGATTTTCAGTGACATTTTGCTCTATTATCAGTAACACTGCCTTGCAATTTCTTAAAAGGATATAACAAGGATTTAAATTACTATTCTATTATCTTCATTTATTCATCTATTCCACTGATATATACTGACAAAGGCAATTTCTTGAGATTTATTGTGGAAGCAAGAAAATCCAGCTTTACAGAGGTTACAGAAGAAAAGCAGATCCAGAAGGGAAACCATATTCCAGCCCAGCTCCTTGTTCTTTCCTTGGGAACATTAACAGTTAAACAAGCCTTCACTGCATGGCCTGAAAGCCCAACTATTATGTATAATATAGAAAATATGTTCAGGGTTTGCAGTCAACCAACAGATGAACTTGGACTTAACTGTTGAAAACAGGAGACTTGCCTGTTCACTTGGCAACTTTTTCCCATAGCTAATCATGGTGTTGTTTAATTCTCTTCTAAAGGTTAAAGTAAAGCATTCCCAGGCCTCATGAATTTCTCATGAGTGGTGATTAAGTGCAACCAAAAGTCTAAGCGCTGTTAGACTGAGAAATGTCTTCAACCTAAATGAACTGGCATTGAAATTGCCAACAATAATAACCCAAGGCTACTTCCATTACGAATTTGGTCTTTGCTTTTTTAAAAAAAGGCCATGATACTTCCCTAGATAATGACCCACGTAAAGCGTTCTCCATGATTGACAATGGCATGTGTCTTATGCCTGGTGCCAGGAGTGGAAGCCTGTGGCTGACTGAAACCAGCACACAGCACAGCACCAGGTCCGCTTCTAAAAACAGAACAAAGTACAGCTCATTCTCCCAGATCTTGCAGAGGAAGCTAGATGATGAGTGTGTGGATGCCTTTTAAAAACAATCGGCTAAATGCTTTGAGATCCTGTGCCCTGATTATTGGCTGGCCTATATATTTTTGGCAATGCTAGTGTCCTAGAGGGCCTGACAATTTAAAAAGCGGTTCAGAGGCATTTTGAAAAAGCCAAGATAAGCAGGCTACTTTCCTAAAAAAGTATTTTATTCTGATCTTTGAAATGTTAAAGGGGCCATGTAGGTGGATTATTTTGAGCAAGGGAAGTTCTGCTTTATAAAGACTGCTGTTGTAAACAACTAACCCCCGGGCTACTCACACAGGCCAGATGGAAGGACACCTCCAAGACAACAGCAGTGACTCACAGCCTAATGGGCTGGGTGAGAAAGCGAGCTAACTGGGTAGATTGGATTGCCTGTGCGAATTACTGTTGGTGCTAATGAAAACGGTTATTGTTGCAGAGAACGTAAAGATCCTATAAGACAATGTGCAGAAAATGCCTAGTGTGGCTCCCATCATTATCCTCACCATCATAAATGAAACACATTCTACCCATGCTCATATGACATGCTTTAAGAGGAAATATAAACTCAAAGGTATCTGCACTCCCATGTTCAGTAAAGCACTAACCACAATAAAAGTTATGGAAACAACCTAAATGTCTGTCAACAGATGAATGGATATAGAAAATGTGGTAATGTAGTAATATACATACAACGGAATATTATCCAACCTTTAAAAAGAAGGAAATTTTGTGACATGCAACAATATGGATGATCCTGAAGGACATTATATTATGTGAAATAAGCCAGTAATAGAAGGACGAATACTGCATTATTCCACTTATGTGAGGTGCCTAGAATAGTCAAACTCATAAAACTAAAGAATAGAAAGGTGGTTGCCAGGGGCCAGCAAGGAGGGAGAAATGGAAAGTTGCTAATCAGTGGGCATGAAGTTTCAGTTAAGCAAGATGAATAAGCTCTAGAGATCTTCTGTACAACACTGGGCCTATAGTCAACAACAATAATGTATTCTATAGGTAAAAACTTGCTAAGAAGGCAGACTTCATGTTAAGTGTTCCTACTACAGCAAAATAAACTTATATTTTAAAAAGATTGTAAAGAAACATACGTAAAAATTTTTTTCTTTTGCAGCCTCATTTTTGAACCAGAACATCTTTAATATCTCAAAAGCATTATAATGTAATATTATATACTTAAAATTTTATGTCTTTGTGTAATCAGATATTTCAAACAATATTTTGTTAACAACAAACCAATAGAAAGGGGAAGGTATCCTCTTCAAGACTGATTATTTCTAAAAGACTCAGTGGCCCACTGGAATTCTTTGGCAGATGCACAATCACTATATGAGAGAATGAGAAGAGCTATAGATATCATTTTCAAAACAAGGAACCAAGACCCAAAGAGACTAAGCAAATGCCACATCTAGCCCAAGAAAGGGGTCTATTTTGGATATCCATACAATGTTCTCTGCACTAATATTGTCTATTAACACACTGAAATGGTGCAAGTAATCCATTGATGGTAGGATCATACCAGTGAAGAGAAGTGAACATTTGCAAAACAAATGTTATTGGCCAGAGGTTTCTCTTAATTTACTGCCTTTAATTCTCACACAACTTTGCAACACAGGGATTACTAGCACTACTTTTAAGGTAGGGAGACCTAGGCCAATAAAGACCTAACACCAGTGGCAAGCAAAGCTGGGACTCAGATCCAGTCTAACCCGACCACAAAGCCTCTGCTCTTTTCAATAGACTCAGCATTTGGGAAGGTGAGGCAGAGTCCTGCAACACTCCTCACCTTTGTCAATTTTCTGACTGTTACACAGAAACTGTTGTTTTCAGAGGAAAACTGTTCCAAGATCACATACCTGTGGTGGAGTCGATGGTAAAAAGGGATGACAGGTCTCCGAGAACCAGCTCATAAGCCACTGCTCCATATGTCCCTGAATCCCTGTCAGTGGCCAGAACATTGACGATCTCGGTGCCCGGTTGGGTCTGGCCACTAATGCTCATCACGTAGGTTGATGGGTTAAACACAGGTTCATTATCGTTCACATCCTCCAGTTCCACACGAACAAAAGCTTGGGCACTTAGCCCACCCTGTTGGTAATGAATGAGAAGTGATTACAAATGATCTCTCCTGAACTCTAGGATCCAGAATAACTGACAAAGATCCTAGAACAGACTTTTGAAACAACTATACATTCATGTACACACACACACACACACACACACACACACACACACACAGATTTTACTTTCAACCTTGAGGTATGAGTTCACATGTAACAACATGGTACCTATACCTCAGTGGTGATGCTTACATAAGACTGATATCACCACTTAAAGCTCCTTATGAGGCAATAATTTTAAAGTAGAAGCCACAAATATGCAAGGAAAGTTTTCCTGATGTCCAAAGAGGAAAAAATATCCCTTTTAGTTTAAACCTCCAAGAAGGGGTAAGAGAGCGTTGTAGGGGATGCAGTTTCAGAAAAGGTCATCAGTGAAAGCCTCACTAAGGAGGTACCACTTGAATAAAGACTGACCTGCATGAGAAAGCATAACAGATGGAAGAAAGAGCAAGTGTAAAGGCCCTGAGGCAGGAGTGCAGGTGCATCCTAAGTCTGTTCAGGGACCAGCAAGGAACAATATCAGGGGACAGGGGCAGGTCATGGAGGGCTCTGTGGGTCTCTGAAAGGAAATGGATCTGACCCATTGGAAGGCTTCGCACAGAAGAGCAGCTTGAATTGACTTAGATTTTAATTGTCACTCTGGCTTCAGTGTTCATAGCAAACTGAAAGCACCAAGGTGGAAGGAGGGAGCCCAGTCAGGAGGCTGTTAGGGTCACCAGGTCGGGAGTGCATAGTGGTAGTGAAGGTACTTATCCTAGATCCTAGTGAAGCCAGATTTGTTTGGGAATTCTGAATTTTTCAAGTTTTAGAAGGGTTGATATTGAGTATAGTGATATTGAGTATAAAGTAGTGAGACGGGGATCCCACACTGTTTAGGCCTCCATCTGGAAACAAGGAGGAGAGAGAACACAATAGAAGAGAACAATCCTCTGCAATTTTGCTTTTCTCAAGTGAAACATGTGTTCCCACTCTAAAGCATCATTTTCCATTTCTATCTGGCACATTTTGATACTTTCATCTTTGACAAAAATCCTTGGAAAGTCATAACAGCCTGGGCTTTCTCCCTCACTTATACTCCACCCTTTCTCTAGCTCTGTTTTTCCTACTACGGGAGGCGCTGAGCAAAGAGGAAAAAGGGAGGCCAAAGGGGAAGGTTTGGCAGCAAAGGGAGGGTGACTGCCCTGCGGGGAGGAGGCACAGGCGGAGGGTGGGCGGAGCAAGAAGGGAGAGTGCTGTCTGGGATGAAGGGGACAGCCTGGGCAATGGCTCTCACGCTTTGAGGTCCCCTGTATCCCAGACACTGGGGACTATACAAGAATTGGGACATACACCTTTAAAAATAGTGTGGCTTTCCATGTTCTAAGTTGACTGAAATGCCAGGGCCATGCCAGCTTCCAATTGGAGCAGGAGAAATGGGGGCCAGTTAAAACTGCAAGAAAATCCCAGGACGCTCCCACTAGCCCGTACGCGTCACACGCAGGCTGGCGCTGTATCTTCAGCAAACCTAAGGTCCCCAGGTGGGGCGGAGTAAGACGGTCAAGACGCGGACTGGTTGTAAACAGAGGGAGAACGCTGCGTGCCGCCTGGCAGAGGTGCCCCTGTCTCTCCAAACCGCCTTCCTTTTCACTGGGTCTCCCCTTGACCTTTGCTCTCTCTCCCCTTCCCTTCACATTCCTCCTCAAGTTTAAGAAGTCACTTAAATCTGAGGAGGGGCTGAGAAAACAAAAAAAGCTATGAGAAAATGGACATGATGTGAAGAAATGAATATCGCTCCACCTTAAGATCATTAAACCAAAGAAGTGAATTTCAGGCAATGCTACTAAACACAAGTAAAATGTGAGATGGAAACAGTGAAAAAATTGTCACAGAACAATGACTCTTTCTACAGGGAAAGTGTTATAGATCTCATCCTTCCCTTTTTATGAATTCAATTTTTAACTGCTGGATTTATCAAAAGGGGGCACTTTCTTCGTATAATAACCATTTGAGAATGCACGGTAAGTGTGCTTCATGTGGATTTTCTCCCTCGATTGTTATAATCTCCCCTTTTTGGATTTTTATGGTTTCTCCTATTTTGACAGATAAGAAACCAAAGGATAAAGATGCTTCATGACTCACCCAGGGTCAATGAGACTACAAATTGCAGCTCTGAAACCGGAACAGAGATTCATCTGTCCCTAAAGTCCCTGGTGACTTCTTTTAAATTAGACTTTTTAAAGTATTTCTGTGGTATATATTCTATCTTCCATGAAATACTTGTTTAAAGACAATGTTCGAGGTCATGCCGACCACAGACTCAGTCTCAGGGGAAAAGGAAGAGGGATCTTGGTTTACATTGGACTTACAACCTATGAAACAGAATCTATACAACTGGGTGTGTGGCACAGTGGAGCATCTGAAGCCAAAAGATCTGGGTCGTACATCTGGCCCTGCCCGCCTCTGGTACTGTAGCCTCGAGAACATCAGATAGGCCATTAGTTAGAACCACTTATTCTATAAAGTGGAGCTGCCTGCTCACCTTGCAGGCCTGGTGTTGGAAGGAGTGATATAATGTGTATGAAAGCATTTATGATGGTTAATCATCATCGATTATAAGATTTTTCAGGATCCATTTCCTAAGTATTTGGGGCCACATAGTTTTGTCTTGGAATATTTCAAGTTTAAAAATTGCATCATAGTATATATACCCTGTCAGGTCTGGGGTGGCAATGAATAATCAAGCACTTAATGTATGAGTAGACACATTTAGAGGGATTAAAAATACGTGCATGGTCTCAAGTCAGTTAAGTCAGGTTTCTCACCAAATGAGATTTCAAAACTTTCTGTCTTGAGAAGCTCTGGGGTTTCAGAACTATAGACAAAGGAGGCAGATGCCGACACGTGCTATGCTCAAGGGGTCTTTGTGGTAGGCCCTCAAAATAAACACGGCTTTAGATCTTCGGCTGGTGCGTGGTTGCAAGAATCTGAAGGAGCCCTTTTTATTTGGGAGACACAAACCCAAAAGTCAAGGCCCTGGAGTGTGCCTGCCATCTGGTAGTGACTAAGGCTTGGTATAGTCCCTTCCGACGAGGTTGCAAGGGCAGTCTTTGTTCTTGGCACTTCCAAATCAGAAGAGCGGCAGAAAGTTGGAGAGTCATAGCTATTTGAGGTAATTAGAAGAATTCAGGATCCAGTACAATTTTCAGGTAGATAACAAAACCTCAAAGACAATGAACAGGACTAGAATCTGACTGCTGAAGCAACAGCCAATCAAAAATGTCCTTGCTTTGCTTCCACATCTTCACTATAGAAGTCTTTCCCCTGACCCTTGTCGGTGGAGCCCTCCTAACTACTTCCAGTTTAACATTGGCAGATTCAAATTTATTTTTGGTCAGATGACTCTCAAATTAAAAAAAGGTAATTTGACAAACAGATGCTTTAAGTGAAAATAACATTCTAGAAAATGTAATAACGTTAAAAAAAATTCTCTGCCATGGTGTACAAAGTGTAAGCACATAAGTGTAGCTAGATGAAAATGGGCATGTCAAGGGGGAGGGTGGGTAGGATCTAGAGAAAAGCCTTGATAGTCAGAGTCGAGGAACTTGATTTACAGTCTAAGGAGAACACTTCATTCTGTACGCCAGTGGGTTTCATCAGTAAATTCAAAGTTCCGTGTTCTTCTTTAATCCCCTTATGGGATACTACCGCTGTCATTAATGACATTAATCATATCTAGGTATTGGAAAGAGGTACCCGAGATAGGAGTTAAGAAGTGTTTCTTAATAATAAATAAAGAGGTTCCTTAGTCAAAAAGTTAGGGAAAGCTTGAATCATCCAAGACAAATGAGTATTTTGTCTCAGCACTTCACCCAGAACTTTCCTTATGCACATTTCTAAAGGGGGGGGAGTTCTGAGGTTTTCCTCACTCTCATTTGACCCTTTTGGAAGGAGCATCTTGGGAGACAAGTATCCCAGAGAGCACGGTGTGGAGAAAGCTAATGTGAACTCATTATCTCCATTCCTCGGAGTGCCCACCTCCCAATTCCCTGTAACTAAACTTCTGTCCAGCTCGTCAAGACTGCCTTCGTAATGCAACCTCTCTGAGATACTATGAGCCAGAACTGCCCAGCTAAGCTGCTTCCAAATTCCTGGCCCTGAGATATTGTATGATATAATAAACATTTGCTACTTTAAAGCTGCTAAATGTCAGAATACCACATTAACCCAAAAGGTAATCAGTACACCACATAAATTCCATCCATGAATATTTAACTTTGTCTTATCCTTTCTCTTTCCACCGGCACATCGTGGTTTCGTGGTTCTTTTTTACATAATTTTAATCATTCAACTTTTAAAATGATGGTTAGAGACTCTTAACCAACCTACCTGAATCCCAATCCTCTCAAGATACATGCTGTGAGAGTCAGGAGTAGTTTGGGAAATCACCAAGCTTGAAAGCTTGAGGGTTGTCTAGGGGAATCAGCAGATACGGAAACATTTCTGCCGTTATGTTTACTTTGGCCATTGTCTACTATCCATTCTCTCTGCTCTTGCCTTCTGGAGCTGAATAGCAGAATATTAATATTTATCCTTTGCCTCCGTTTGCTCTTGTGGACTATGATTTCCTTTGTCAATACGTTCTAGACTATATTTCATGATTCAATGTGCAAAGGTGAAGGGACCTAAGTGTCTAGTTTACTAAGAAAACACAAAACAGTAAGCTGTGGTGTCACCAAAGTGAAGGGAAGCTCCATTCAAAGAATGATTTTAAGTTCATTGAGAAGTTGAACAAAATTTAACTAATAAGTGCCAGGATGTAGCACAACAGAAAGTCACAAAAGCAGTTTTATTAGACAGGTGGAATGGGAAAAATGGATTAAAGAAAGATTGAAGAGGGCAGAAACAGAGAGAGCTATTTTAAGAAGACTTGCTGTGAAAGAAAAGGAATAAAATGGTTTTCTAAAAAGCTACATGAAGTAAAAAGTAGGT